AGAGGCATAATCTTAGACAAGAAATAGTATTTTATTTACAATTTTACGTTTTGTCATAGAGGGCGCCACGTGGATCATTCCTAATGATAAAATTGAGTCTAAACTTTTTCTGATGAAACTTTTTAGTAATTTTTATTAGAAAATATGACGTAAACATCATTTTTACGTAAAATTAGTACTCTTGTTTAAACATGATAATTTCAACCGTTTTCGATAAAAACGCAGTCGAACTGCTTAGAGTCTTAAAAAAGGATTTCAAATATTATTTCATTTATGAAAAGTATGCTTTGGACTGTCAGATAATTGTTGTTGGTAAATGTCATTTGTGCAGAGTAAATTATTTTTGATGTGACAGTGTAGTGTAATGTTGCATTTTTTAAAATTAATCATTACTTTTTTTGATTGAAATGCCTCGTCACAATCATTTTACTAATGAAGAGATTTTCACAAGAAAATTTTTGCGGTCGCTCGGCAGCCAGAAGGTATGGAATGTTATACGCAAACAGAAGGCAACCAAATCACAAAACTTTTGCAAGATTATATCGTAGTTTAGGTGAAACTGGGTCATTTCACACTAAAAATCGGGGTGGTCGAAATAAGTTCACGACATCTATCAGCAGCAACAGGAGTAAGTCAGTCGTCTATTGTTAGAACTCTAAAAAAAAGAGAACCTCCATCCTTATTACTTCACACCTGTTCAAAATTTACTTCCAACAGATCCTCCACGACGGTTACAGTTTTGCCAACGTATTCTGAATAAACATCGCAATGGCAGACACTTTATTAAGAATATTATGTTCACCGACGAAGCAACTTTTACCAGACGAGGAGTTTTTAATTGGCGAAATACTAATTATTGGGAACAAGAAAACCCGCATGCTATTAAAGCTAGACATTTTCAGCATGAGTTTAAATTGAATATTTGGTGTGGCATTATAGACGACCAACTACTAGGGCCCTATGTTCTTCCTCCAAATTTAAATGGAGGTTCTTATTTATTATTTTTGGAAAATACTCTTAGTGATATTTTAGATGATCTGTCACTGGATGTAAGAAGAAAAATGTGGTTTATGCAGGATTGAGCACCTCCTCATTTTTCATTAGCTGTTAGAAATCATCTTAATGACGTATGTCCTCAACGATGGATTGGCAGAGGTAGTGATTTTCAATGGCCAACAAGAAGTCCTGAGCACAACCCGCTAGATTTTTATTTTTGGGGATATATGAAGTCCTTAGTTTATGCCAATGAAATTAATACACGAGACGAACTTTGGAAATACATTCAAAATGCAGCTAATCTTATAAGGGGACAGAATAATATTTTTTTTAACGTCCGAAAATCCTTTATAAAAAGAATTAGAAAAGGCATAGAAATCGGTGGAGACCATATAGAACATTCGGTTTGAGTTTTTGTGAGTTCTTTTAAGTAAAGTGTGTTTAGTTTTGATTTATCGTCAAAATGGAGACCTTACGTTAGTTGCAACTTTGTTTATTAGTTTGGTATTTGATAGTGGAATTGTAAATAAAATACTATTTCTTGTCTAAGATTATGCCTCTGTGCCAATTTTGATAGCAATTTATAAATATACAGGGAAACTATTAGCAAAACATGAAAAACAAAAATTAATTTTAACACCCTGTATCTTTTTTCTTAGCAACATTTTATTAAGGCATATTTGGCCCGATAGCCATATTTTGAACCAAATAACCTATCCTTAATCTATGTCCCAATAGTTATGACTCACCCTGTATAGATGGCTGAGAAAGTAAGTATAATGAGTGATTTGAATCGGCCTCTACAGGATTCTTCCGCCTTTAGTCCTAAGTTCGCCCGGACTGCCTTTTTTTGGACTATACAGACAGTTGAGCTATTTACTGCAGCACCCCAGAAGATTACTCCATATCGCATAACAGAATAAAAGTTTGCATAATATACTGATAGTAAAATCCCCTGGTCCACATAGATCTTAAACACTCTTGAGTATAATTAGCAGGCTCTATTCAGTTTTTTTGTTGTATTTTGTATTTGTTCCCCCCAAATCAGATTCTGGTCAATATGAATACCAAGAAATTTTCCGTGTTTTGTGATAGAAAATTAAGTATCTGGAAACTGTTCTCGTGACTGGCTGGTTCTAAAGTAGACAAAAACTGTCTTATCAGTATTAAGCAACAATCGATTACCACTGAACCACTGTTCAGCATTGCTTAGAATTTGTTCTGCCACTGTGAGAAGTGTTTCTAAAGTTTTTTCCCAGAAAAGCACATTTGAGTCATCAGTGAAGTTTACAAGGTTTGAGGAACTACTAACCACCGCATTTGGAAGGTCGTTTATGTAGACCAAAAAGAGAAAAGGCCCCAGGACACTCCCCTGTGGATTTCCGAAGTGGACATTAAAACGTCAATAAACCTATTTTAAACTTCAATTGTGGCTTATTCATATGAAAATAGTATTTACTTTGGGTGTACAAATAATAATTTTTATCATCTTTATACTGCAATAGAAGGGGATTTTTGTATTTCCAACTAATTTATTTACTAAAATTTTACATGTTAGAACATTATAACATTATTATAGATAGCTAGTAAAGACTTTTGCAAAGTCTGTAAAAGTTTTATGTTTATTTTAATAACATCTGTAGATTCACTAATGAATTATTTATTTTATAAGTCAATTCATTATAATTATATACCGCTTATTAAAAATTAAAATTACCCGATTTCCATAATATTTCATCCCCGAATTGACTTAAATTAAAACAGCATTAATGAATGCCTTAACGTCTGTTTTGTTACTTTTACACTTTCGATATAAATCAAATTAGGCACAAGGCTTTACCTTTCCAATTCTCCGTCGGATCTTAAGAGATTTATTTCTATTCTCATCAGGACTTAATATTATTAGAAGACAGTTAATAAATCAAACTAAGGCGTAGGATAAAGGACAAAGCGTTGGAATTTAGAAATGTTTGTTTCAATCATAATGATAAATATGGTTAGTGGAACTATATGCACTATAAATTTATAATTTCACTCCTATCTAACAAATTAAATTGGAGATCTTCAATTAGAAATAGTTTTGAACAAAATAAATAAATTTCAAATTTATTATATTTCTCCGTCATCTATAACATATTATTCTGTAAAACTAGAACTTATTCAGACCTCTATTCGAGGTTCTTATCCACTATGTGGACATTTTTTAAGCAAAAAATCATTTCGATATGTAAATATGTACTCTGAGATATCTATGTGATCGTAGTTAGGGAGAACTGGATGACAAATTTACCCCCACAGCTACTTCCATACCAAATTTTCCTTAAATATAACTTAATTCCTTCAGTTTTTCAAAATCGGTCGTATTTATTTTCTTAGATAAGATCTGGTCTGATAAAGACAGTGGTGTGAACTATTAACGTATATTGATAGTTGGTAACACTATGTCACTCTCGATAATTATCAAAATATATTCAGTAGAGCTTGGGAAATATGCATTTAAAAAACCCTAAAATATGCATGTAAATCTGCACAAATAACAGTAGAAATATGCACATAACAGTTAAAATATGAATTTTATGCTTTTATGCATTTAATGCATATAATCAAAAATCGCAGTCATGCTTGTATACAGGAATTAATATTATTTATATTATTAATATTACGATTGTCATTGCTCCGACCTTTCGACATCTTCTTTGATGTCTTCCTCAGGGCTTCCAAGGTCTCAGTCTGGTGAGCCAACAGACGTTACTACATTGATCACTAATCAGTGCATTACTTGTCCTGAGAATAAAGGACGAGCCATTTATAACATCGATGGTGACGTGGATTGGTTGCAGGTTGGCGTGGGGGTTAACGTGAGGATTGGCGCGAAGATTGGCACGGGAGTTGGTTCGAACATTTTTGACAGAAGGATTTTGATTGACGGTTGGAGCGGACGGTATTTTTTTACGAGAGGTCTCAAAGTCGAAGATAACCATATGCCGTTATCTATTTTATTTAGACTATTTGGCTTTTTTTCAATTTCCATGGCTTCTCGGATAATTCGTAGTTTCTACCTATAAGCGGATATTGGCTATGATAAGCTCGGCGCAATGATAATCGACGCCGTTTAACCTGGAAAACTGTTGAGTTTAAAAACACACACACACAAACACACACACACACACAAACACACACACACACACACACACACACACACACACACACACACACACACACACATATATATATATATATATATATATATATATATATAATATATATATATATATATATATACAGTATGATAGTCGCTGAAGCAGAAGTCGTCCTGCTTCAGCGACCTCCTGCCCACACCGCTCAAGTCACGTCAGCTCAGACCACGTCAGCCCATACCGTTCCCGCGCGTACAGCGAGTATAAAAGCAGCAACACAGGGTAAGATCGGTTGTAGGGAAGTAGGTACGATGCCACAAATAGTACCTACAGAAAAAGACGAGGAAACCACCAGACTACACTGAGGAGTAGGCAGATTGAGACTTCAGTACCGAGAGACAGTTCTTGTATTTATTATACAGAACACGATACTGGTACGTCTCGAGTGAGGGAAGTAGGCAGGTTGAGAATCCGAACTCGAACCAAACCGTATTTCTCTTGATAATGGCTCCAAAATGGGGGCCGAAATGTCGAGCATTAAATTCTCAACGCCGTTCTTCCCGAGAACCTAGTGATTTTTATTCATCTCACCGCGGAAATCTATCCGAACATATATATATATATATATATATATATATATATATATATATATATATTATATATATATATATATATATATTATATATATATATATTATATATATATATATATATATATTATATATATATATATAATATATATATATATATATATATATATATATATATTATATATATATATATATATATATATATATATATATATATATATATAAATTCACAAAAGAGGTAAATTAAACCACAAATTAAGACTTTATATTATTATAATGTTGGCACCATTTAAAAATTTCTTTTACAATAATATAGTTTTAATTTTACTTTTGATCACGCTTCCAATTTGGATTACAATGAATCATTATTTTGATGGGATTTCCGACTCTATCTCTGTGAGTTTCGAAGGCTTCTTTTGTTTCTTCTAAGGTAAAATGATGAGTAACAAGATCTCTCACATGAGCTCTTCCGGATCTTACCATCTCTATTGCTTCCGGATAGTCGTTGTTATATCTAAATGAACCGATCGTACATATTTCTTTTACCAAAGCTGCTCCAAATGGCAAGGTCATTTCAAGACCACCCATACCTAAAAAATTAAAATTGATTAAAAGTTTTACCACATATTTCAAGTAAAGCTTCATATGTGTATATAGTAAAAATGTTTAGAGCTGTAGAAACGAATTATTGTTTTCTAGAATGTAATATGCAATTCTTTCTTTTTTACATCGAAATATTTAAAAATATGTAAAGATGATATTTTATTTAAGATACTGTTATTTATTGTACATATTTTTAAGATATGAAACTGTGACTTTGACGTAGATAAAGGAATCTACCCGCTATTTTTGTTAGTTCAGTTAGCTTCAGTTATTTGGTATCCATTCTTAATTTGTAAAATAAAGCAATTCATAATACAAAACAGTCCACAAGAACGAGTCGAATCTATAAAAAAATACAATAATATTAAGACATATACAGTATACACACATAACCTTAGGGTTTAATCTTCGTTGAAAATCCTGTCAAATTTATAATACACTTACATTTAGAAAACGGTTGAAACTACAATACTGCCATCCTAACATGAAAGGTCCTATCTGTAAAATTTGGTAAAATGACTTTATTGGCTCACGGCATTCGTAAACATATTATTTATGTATGTACAAAATGAAATTGTCCTATAAGCGTCTTAAGTGCCTTATTATATACCTAAATGGTTTGTCCTAACTGACTAAAAAGCCATGTTTACTAACATAAATTGTCCTATCTCACATATACTAAGAAAAATTGTCCGTTTTGACTTTAAAAATGCAGTTAGGACTATTTAAGCTAGTATTTTATACTGAGCGGCATCATTTAGGACAATTTTTTCCTAGTATGATATAAGCATGTGTGTAACATAACTTCAAATAATTAATTAAAAAGGGTATTTGTTATTGTCAGACATTGGGAATACTCTCATGCTTTTTGGTATTTTAAGTAAATATATTGTGAGAAATGGATGAAGGGTAAGTTTAATAATGTTACCTTAGGTATAAGCAATAACTGATCGTAATTATTGTTTGTAGTAGTAGCAAAAATATAGAAGCACATGCGTCTATATTTTCTGGTTGTAGCAATGCAGCATGTCGTAGCTAGAACAGCGATAGGTGTAAACGTATGGTATTTAGCCAAAAGCGAGAATGATCCAGATTATGCACCTGGGACGTCCAATAAATTCGACAATAATATAAATGGAAATGAGTCGCATTCTAGTTTCGAATCTAACTATTATCATTTATGTTACATATATTAGGATGTAAATTGTGTACTAAATTTTAAAACTTCTTCTTCTTTTTATATAGACATGACTCTGTCTGTTTTTCAATGTACCTCCAGTAAGTTGCCGTTTCATCGTTTTCGTGGTCTTACTACTGATCTCATCGTTTTCGTGGTCTTCCAACTGATCGTCTTCTTATTGGAGAACCGTCTCTTGCCGTATTTACTACTCTATTTGTTGTCATTCGGTTTGTATGATCGTTCCATTCTACTCTTCTATTTCTTACACAGTTCTTAATATTCTTACTTTGTCTGATGTACCTCACCTTGCATATACATTGTATATCTGTACTCTGTATCTTATCTTAGCTCTATCCCATAGTGTTTTGCCATCAATGTTTCTAAGTGTTTTCATCTCTTCTATTTCTAACATCCTTTTTGTCCTCTCTGTGTCAGGTCTTGTTTCTGCTGCGTATGCCATTATTGGTCTGATGACTGTTTTGTAAATTTTGTCATTCATTTCTTTTCCGATATTTTTATTTCTTCATATTGTTTCATTCAGGCAGCATGCGGCACTGTTTGCTCTATTCACTTGATCTTTCACTTCAGTTTTGAGCTTTCTGTAGCTAGATAATGTGATGCCTAGATATTTAAACTCCATCACTTCTCCTTTTATCTTACCTTCTAGCTCCAATTTACATCTTAGTAAATTTGCTGTTGTAAGCATGCATTTTGTCTTTTTTGGGGAAATTAACATTTTTCTGGCGATTATATTAAATTGGTGCAGCATAAGTTGTAAATCATCTTCACTTTTAGAGATCAGTATTGCGTTGTCTACATAGTAGATTATTTTAAGTTGTTTTTCTACCATTTGGTATCCTTTTTTAGTTACTTTTTTTATTATTTCATCCATAATCAGGTTAAAGAATAAAGGACTCATAGAATCTCCCTGCCTTATCCCATTGCCAGTTACAATAAGGTCGGTTAGTTCTTCTTCTACTTTTACTTTTATTGTGTTTTTTTGGTAGATATTTTTGATCGTTTTGATTATTCCTGGAGGTATCTCTCTTGCGTACAGTAAGTGGATAACGTCTTTTAGTTTAACCCAGTTAAATACCTGGTTTAACACCCAGTGTTATAATTTCATTCAGTTTATTTGTTATCACTTTGGTTGTTAATTTTAGTGTTGTGTTTCATAAATTAATTCCCATTCCCTTGATCTCCATTCTTGAGGAATACTATTTTTTGTTCTATTATTTTATAAAACTTAGTATAACAAAATTAAAATTGTTCAGTTAATTTGAATTTTAGTTTTATTTAGGACAATTTCAGTAAGTAATAGAAAAAAACGTACTTCAGATACACTAAGCTAAATTGTCCTAAGTGGCAATTTAATCAAAAATCGACTAATCTGGAAAGAATAAAACAAAATTTTGACTAGCAATTAAATTCTATTCTCTGACATAATATATAAAATAAAACATAAAGACTTCTTTAAATTACCAAGCGTTATACAATGAAAAGAAACAAAAACTTGATTTTCTCAAAACCTAAATTTTGCAGATAGGATCTTTCATGTTAGGACGACAGAATACATTCAGTTCACAGTGTTTCATGTTAGGACGACAGAATACATTCAGTTCACAGTGTATGTAGCATTGAAACTTACGACACATCTTAGTGTGCGCTCATTACGAGGCGCCGACCCTCGCTCGGACCATAGGATGGTATCATCTTATCGATCTCCAGGTAAAATAAATGCATTATTTTAAAAAGGCCAGCGTTCACTGTCATAGCGCAGAGCCCAGCCTCGCCCCAAGTATCAGACCATAGACTCGAACCATAGTATCCGATCTTAAGGTGCGTTCAATATGGAGACCAACGCATGGTATCCTCGCCTAGAGCATAGCACTGACAGTGAACGCCCGCATTTAAAACAATGCATTTATTTTATGTGGCGATGATAAAATGATACCATCCTATGGTCCAATCGAGGGTCGGCGCCTCGTTATGAATGCACACTTAGTATCTTTTCGACCCTCGACCCTAGTAATTGACGATTGACACCCCGCTCCGACCTACGTATCGAGCGCCAGGTAAAATAAATATAAATGCATTAAATTCGCATTTTAAATGCGAACGTTCACTTCATTGTTAGTTATCTAGGCGAGTATACCGAGTATGCGATGATCTCCATGAGAATGGTCATCATTGGTTCACCATTCTCTCTCCTGTTACTGACAAAGAATGTAGAGCGTAGAACCATTTTAATTAATTTTAAACTGTTTGTCCTTGTTTTAGTGTAGTGTTTTGTACAATTTTATGTTAAAATTCATGTTTATCACATTCTACGCTTGCTGGATAGTCCAAATTTGACGAAATGCCTCTGAAGATGCTGTATTAAGCGAAAGTACTTGGACAAGATTTAATTGTTAAAATTGTGCACGATATTTGCCTTTCATTTTCAAAGTTCATTTATTCGAACATTCAACAAGCAATAAAAGAAAAAGCTATGGAGTTCGGCATGCCAGGGTATATTTGCTTCATTGGTCTGATGAAGGCGTTTGACAGGGTTCGACTGGGAGACATTCTAAATATATTAATAGAAAATAAAACACCGACAAACATAACCAAAATAACAACCAAAGTTAGAGCAGGAGAATAGTTCATTGAAAATATTCCAACACTGGGAGGTATTAGACAAGGCGATAGTTTAATCCCCTTCTTGTTTACCCTACTCATGGGCAAAATTATAAACAAAGTATCATCTCTTAATCTCGGATACAGGATGGGCAACAAAAGAAATGCTATGGTTTGTTACGCAGATGATGCAGCAATTATTGCCGAATTAGAAGATGACCTTCAGAGACAGCTCCTTCAGTTCCTTCAAATAAGCCGCCAACTAAATATGACCATTTCTACCAACAAAACTAGATGTATGACAATAGCAAAAGATCCGCTCAGATGTAAGTTAGTGGTTGAGAACAACCCCATAGAATAGGTGATGCAATTTAGATATCCGGGCATAGATATATAAAGTACACACGACCCAGTAAAAGACCTAAGGCGTCAGATCAACAATGTATCCGTATGTCAGGATGTCTGCGGGAGATAGTCTGGTCAAATCCGTATATGCATACAGATAGTAAAATTAGAATCTACAAGACTTGCATACAACCGATCATGACATATGGCATAGAAGGACGCGAAGATACCAACAAAATAAAACAGATGCTAAGGGTTGCCTAAATGAAAACCCTAGAACAATAGTGGACAAAACAAGAAGAGACAGGGTGAGAAATACAAACGTTAGAGAGCAGTGGAAAATTCAAGATATTGTAAGATGGGGAATGCAGCTTAAGAGGATGTGGTACAATTATGTAAGACGAATGGATGAGAATAGAATCCCAAAATTTCCCTAGAAAACAATTCTCCCGGTTCAAGACCTCCCGGAATATGACCTCAAAGATGGAGGGATAGTTGGTAATCTACCTTCCAAGAAATTAACCAGAGACAGCTTCAGAATAAAACAGATCAAAAGATCTCCAAGAAGTAGAAGAAGATTTTTTATTAAAAACATTTTTTTCTACATTAAACAAATTCTTGGTAGGTAAATTGAGTAATAATAATAATCCAATTACATCTTTTAAAAATGATATTACAAATACTTCTGCTTTAAGGGAAAAAGCAGTAGTAAAAAGCTGACACATTCAAAACCCAGTTATCCTAAAATAATTTAACGTTTTTATAATTTAAACGACAAAAAAAATTAAAATCTTATGGCAAATGGATGATTTATAAGTAAAGACGTTATATTGCTTACAAGCCTTTATATTTCATCGTCAAAAATTTAGATAATGTATTCCTAATTAATTAATCTTACAGATATTTAATGCTAACCTGCAGTTCACAACTAATTTGTGATCTCATGCAATAATAAGTTGATTCTAAGCGCATACCAAACTTTATAAGAAAAATAACCATGTTTTCCCCCATAATATTCTTTGATTTATGTTCGGGAAAAGTTATTGCCACTTCTGGCAGTATGTGTTTGACATGATTATTTTTTGAAATAATAGTAATATTTTAATTACATACCTAGTAAAATAGATACTCCACCAGCTCTAGTAAGATGCATAGATAAACGGGCACACATTTCGGAACCAGCACATTCTATAGACACATGCGGTTCTTCCTTTAATATTTCGCGAACTTTATTCACAATTTGCATTTCTTCCATTCCAGACGTATTTAACGTATAAGTAGCACCCATTTTCTTGGCTAGTTCCAATCGGTAATCCATGACATCGGTAATAAGTATTTTTCGTGCACCATATGCCCTAGTGGCTGCCACGCAACACAATCCAATTGGTCCAGATCCCTGAATAAAGCATACACTACCTACGGTAACACGTCCCAGCTTACAGGCGTGTACGCCTACAGCTAACGGCTCCATTAAAGTGCCTTCTTCAAGGCTCATATTACATGGAAGTTTAAAACAAAAGTCTTCGTCTGGAAAACATCAAATTTAATTATAAATATAATGTTTACTAAACAAAAAATTTTGCTTATTTTACAAGGACTAGAAAAATCCCTACACCAATATTGGGGAAAAAAAAGACAATGTAGAATATAGTGGTACTTTTTATTTTTAACAGGAAATTTACTTAGTAAAATAGCGAAATAATATAGTAATATTTATAAAACAGCTATATAAGTTTAAAGAACTTATATAATATAAACTAAATAAGAAATAATAGGTTTAATTCTTCAGTACAGTCAAACAGACATCTCGTGAAATTAACGAAGTGGCAAAACAAAAATGAATGGAACAAGGCTAAAGTTGAACTGGAGAAGCAAGCAATAAACAATTTACATTAAATTAAGTTAAATTTACATTCACTGTATAGCCCAGCTTCCAATTGAAGGGTCCAATGCATAAACCGGGCAAGTCCACTTTTTGGGCAAAATGAGTTAAGCATTTATTCATGCACAGTATAAAATTCTACATCTTCTAGTGCATAAAGCAGCTCGATAGGATTAAAAATATCAATACTAGAGCGTATAATGTTCTGCCTGCATTTTGATACTTTTTATAATCCTGTGGAGTCCATGACTTGACCGGTTAATGCACAGTGCTCTTAGTCCTCAGTCAAATAGGTTATCATTCATTAGGTTATTGTTGTTGGTATCAAGGTGTTGTTATTTTGGGTAATTCACAGTGTTTATTAATAATTTTAAAGTTAAAAATAATGTCTTCTGATACAGAAAGTGTCAGTAATCCTTTTGAAGGCACCCATACATCCAGTGACGAAGGTTATATGCCAATTAAAAATAAACATAACCACACAATTCAGTTCCTTACAAACTATACTGCATCTGATGATTCCTTTAGCTTTAATGGAGAAAATAAAGAATCTGAAGCCATCCCTAATACGTCAGATGTTCCTGAAATGTCTAAGAATACGACACAAAAAGGAAAAAAAAGACTTTTACGTACAGCATCATGAAAAAGAAACACACGAAAAAATAAACGAGTTAAGGTGAGCCTTATTTGTCCATTGCTGGTGTATATAAACCCGGAAAACATATTGGTACTAACTGCAACTGTAAGCTAAAGTGTTTTGAAGAAATTGGGCATGAAAACTGTATTAAAATATTTCACGATTTTTGTGCCATGGGAACAAAACATCTCCAAGATGCTTATTTATATGAAAATATTGACAAATTAGAAGTTAAACGAGTAAGACCACGTTCTGGCCAAGGAATGAAAAAGAAATCATCATTTACTTACAAGGTAATATTATTGGTTGGAATATGAAATATAAATTGTTTGAGCTTAAGCTTTTACCAAGTATTTAAAATGTTTTATTGTTCCAGGTTCGCTGCGATGGGGCGACACGGAAAATTTGCAAATAGGCATTTCTTTCATTACGAAAGCAAGACTTGAACGTTTACAGAATTACTTATATATGGGACATGGAACTCCTGCTGTGGATGGTAGAGGAAAACACATAAAAAGACCTGATAAACTACCCGTCGGCACTGATGATAAGATACGTCAGCATATACTTAGTTACCCAAGATACAAATCGCATTACAGTTTGAAAGATAACTTGCAGCACTATTACCTCTCGCCTCTTTTAAATTATGCAAAAATGCATCACATGTACTTAGAAAACTACGAACCTAAACAAATACTTCTATAAAATGAAAATATGAAACTAATTGTAAAGTATAAATATTATAGAAAATTTTTTACAGAAAACTTTAAAATATCCTTCGGTAAACCAAAGTCAGATACTTGTCAGAAGTGTGATAAGTTACAAAATCAAATTAATGCCGCCGATAATGATGACCAAAAAAGAGCATTAAAAACAGAGAAAAAACTACATATCACAAAAGCTGAAACTTTTTATCAAGATATGAAAGAAAAAATAGATTTAGCTAAGAATGAGTTACAAGTAAAAGTTTTACCATTCGATTTTCAGCAAAATTTGCCACGTCCAGTGTCCTCGAGTAGTGAAGTTTTCTACAAAATTCAACTTTGGGTATACAATTTTTGTATTCATGTGGAAAGTGCTGGAAAAAGTTATTTTTATGTTTATGATGAGACAATAGCTGCAAAAGGACAAAACGATGTAGTTAGTATACTACATCATTTTTTAAATAATCGTATTAATCAAGACGTAAACACTATTTACATATTTTCTGATAACTGTTCGTCCCAAAACAAAAATTTTGTACTAGTACAGTTTTTTTATACCGTTATAGCAACTACTGAGAAGCTTAGACTGATAGTGCACAGATACCCTGAACCCGGACATAGTTTCCTTCCCTGTGGCAGAAGCTTTGGAGCAATAGAAAGACAAAAACGGAAACATGACAAGTTTAAGAACATTACCCCAAGAATACTCAAACATTATTGAAAATAATAACAAAAAGTTTTAAGTTATTAATGTGACTCAAGATATGTTTCTGAACTTTAAGACCCATTTTCAACAATTTTTTGTGAAAATCCTTCACGGAAGAACAACCAATTTACCCATCTCAAAATATCGTATCATGCGATATGAAAAATTAGATAGTGAAATGACGTTTAAATGTAGCGAAACCGTCAACTTTACTGTATTCAATACTTTTGAAATAAGAGATAAGAGGAACTTGCAGCCCCTGACCTTACCAAACTATGACCATAAGTTGTACACTGAAATGAAAAAGCTGAAAAAGAACAAATTCGAACATGTTATGTCTTTGGCAACAAATTATGTACCACAGTGTGATCAATGGCTTTATGAAGCAATCCGAAATTACCATCAGAACGTCTCACCAGACGATAAGGAAACTTCGGTATCAGAATTCAGTGACAGTGAGTAAAGAAAAATATATCATCAATGTACTAACATTTAATTAAAACTATGTTCTTGTTTATTTCATTTAATAAATTGCTAGAAAATAATTTTTTGAATATGAAATTCCATTTTGTTTTATTTTTCCCGCAAAAAAACATGAATACTTTGCATAAACCAGTCAAGTCCAATTATTTTTCACCCAACTTTTTTGTTTTTTAACTTACAACTTAATATTAAAAAAAAATAGTGTTAACAAGATGATCTTCGAATGTCAGAAAATACAAAACTTATCAGGATTTCATAAATTTCGCTCAAAATGTTTTTTAGTTCTCCTGAACATTTTGCTTTATTTGACTTGACCTGTTTATGCATTGGACCCTTCAATTGTTTAAAACAACATTTTATTAATTGTAAGGCGGACAAAGTTCGCCGGATCAACTAATATACTTATAAAATAGCATGGTATATAAAAGTAGAAAATCACTAATTATAAAAATATTTATTTTCGTTTAGTTTGTTCCCTTTATATTGTCACGGGAAGTTTTAATTTTCATTTTTAAAACCGCCAACTTAACGAAAATGAGATACAGCCCACTCCATTTTGTCAGTTAAACTTATGAAATATGCACTCGGTTTTGGGTGTGAAATGGAATTAAAATTCAAGTAGAAACAAAAATAAAACAGTTGAATAATTTTTCACTACTTACTGAATGGGGTGAAAAATTTATGACCAGCACGCAAACGGCAAATATCAAACGCGATTTCATCTAACTTGAATGATTTAAAAAATATTTTAATAAAGTTGAGTGTGTCTAACAATGGAGAAAATATCAACTATTTAAAGAAATATACAAATACTAATTGAAGGGGCAAATGGATAAAGGGGTTATTTAACATTTTTTGAAAAGTTTACTTTTTACGGTGAATAAAAGAGTTTACATTATTCTTTGTAAATAATCGTTATTATAATAAATATGTATACAACGACTGTCCAATCTACGAATGAAGTGATGGCGACTATCAACCGTAAGTTCAGTAAATGAAAAAAGTGAACCTGAAGAAGTTTTCAGAGAATCTACTGAAATTCCTACTGCACGTAGTACTAATACAGATAAAAGTCATACCGCTAGAGGGACACATAGAATAAAATTCTTCCTAATAAAACCAAAGATCTTAAGAAGATGAATTAGTAAACCAAATACATGGAAAAAAAATTTGCAGCTAAAAGCAGAGAAAGCTATATTTCATATAAAGATGATGTCGAATCTGCAAAATGTCCCTCTTCTGATATCCTATGTAGTGGGAAAAGCAGATTTAAATGCAGTTCTAAAGTAAATATGGATAACCGAACTCCATTATTTAATGAATTCTACAAGCTGGATGTGAATTCCAAAAATGCCTTATCATTCAGAAGTATTATAACTTTACCTTTTGTCTTCTTCTTCCTATGCCGTCCCCATTAACGGAGGTTGGCGACAACATTTTTAAAAGCTTCTCTGTCTTTTGCAACGTGGAATAATTCGTCTACAGTCATGTTTGTCCAGTCTCGAATATTTCGCAGCCATGACTTCCTCTTTCTACCTATTCCCTTTTTGACATCGACTCTACCCTGCATGATGACCTGCAGAAGACTATATTTATTATTTCTTAGTATGTGTCCAAGGTATGCAGTCTTGCGTACTTTTAGCGTTCTCAACAATTTTTTGACTCGACCCATTCTTCTCAGCACTTCCTCATTGGTGACCCTGGCAGTCCATGGGATTCTCAACATTCTCCGGTATATCCAAAGTTCAAAGGCTTCAATCTTTTTAACTATTTGCGCTTTTAGTGTCCATGTTTCTACCCCGTACAATAATTGCGACCAGACGTAACATTCAACAAACCTCAGTCTCAGCGCAATATTCAGATTTTTGTCACAGAATAATTGTTTGAATTTTAAGAACGCTGCCCTTGCCATTTCTATTCGTACCCGGATCTCTTGGTCTGGATCTAATTCTGTGTTGATGTAAGCTCCCAGATATTTATATTTTGTCACTCTCTCTATTTGCTGTCCACCAAGAGTTAGTTGTTCATTATTTATATAAATTTGGTCTTATCTGTGTTGATGTCAAGTCCCATTTGAATGCATTCACTATTTATTGCATCTAGTAAAGTTTGTAGATCTTCTATACTCTCAGCCATAATTACCGTGTCATCTGCAAATCTCATGGTGTTTATGATTTCTCCACCAATTCTTATTCCCTCTTTTCTTTCCCATAAGGCTTTTCTGAATATGACCTGTGAGTACACGTTGAAAAGCGTCGGAGACAAGACGCATCCTTGCCTAACCCCTCTCGCAATCGGTATATTATTTGTTTCTATATCGTTCACCTTTACTACTGCTTTCTGGTTCCAGTATATAGCCTTAATAAACTCAATGTCTTTTTTATCTAAATTGATGTTTTTTAATTCATCTATTAACTTTATATGCTGCACTCGGTCAAAGGCCTTCCTAAAGTCTATGAAGCATACATATGCACTCTTGTTATATTCCCGACATTTCTGCAAGAGTACCGTCAATGCAAATAATGCCTCTCTTGTACCCATGCCTCCTCTGAAGCCAAACTGAGTTTCATCTATCTGTTCCTCACATTTCTTAAAAATTCGGTTTTGAACAATTTTCAAAAGAATCTTTAAAGGGTGGCACATTAGGCTTATCAATCTATAGTCATTACATGATTTGGGATTGTTGTTTTTTGGTAGAGGTAAAAATATCGATTTAAGCCATTCTTCCGGGATGTTGCCCTCTACATATATGTGGTTGAGAATTCGGGAGAGTCTCTTTATATTACCGTCATCTAAGGCTTTTAACAGTTCAACTGGAATTTGATCAGGACCCGGTGCTTTTCCTTGTTTTGCATTCTGTAGGGCATTCTTTACTTCTGAGGGTAAAATTTGTAGGTATTGTTTTTCTTCACCTATATCTTGTTCATTTTCTCTCTCGTCATGGAAAAGATGGATTATATATTGTTCCCATACTTCCTTTATTTTGCTCTCTTCAGTAAGTATTTCTCCATTTGTTATGAGTGTTCTTCTTTGTCTGGTGTTGCCTGTAAGTTCTTTAATTTTTTTATGTAAGTTTGAGGTGTGTCATGTTTGTTGCTGAGTTCTTCCAATTCCTGGCATTCTTTGTTCATCCATTCCTCCTTAGCCTTTTTGATTTCATATTTGATTTTATTCTTGATGGTTTTATATTTATTTTCATCTTTATTTTTGTATTTTTTTTTCAGTTATTAGCTCAACTATTTCCGGTGTCATCCATTTTTTTTAGTTATTTTCTTTTCTTCGCCTAGGACCTCCTTTCCCGCTTTTAGTATGACTTTTTTCATATCTGCCCATTCAACGCTTCCTTCAGTTAATTTATTTATCTCTGCGTTTAGTTGCTGTTGGCAGTTGTCGTCTTTTAGGTTTTTGATGTTAATTTTGGTGGTTTTAACTTTTTTCTCCGGTTTCCTGAGTTTAATGTTGACGTTTGCTAGTAATAGATTATGATCCGTATATGCATCTGCGCTTGGATATGTTTTTGCACTTTGTACTCCATTACGAAACCTTTTGTTAATCGTTATAAAATCTATTTGGTTTCTGATTATATTGTTGGTGTTATCTTTTGGAGAAGTCCACGTGTATAATCTTCGTAGGGGTAGGTCGTAGTATGTATTTGTTATGACTAATTCTTTCTCCTGGCAGTACTGGACTAGTCTGTCTCCTCTTTCGTTTCTTTTACCTAACCCAAAATTTCCTACTATATTTCCAGTTTTTCCTCGACCGACTTTAGCATTAAAGTCGCCCATAATTATTTTTACCTCCTGCTTCTTTATGTTTTTTGTTAACAGTTCTAAGTCCGCGTAGAATTTTTCGAGCTCAGCATCATTGCTATCAGATGTTGGAGCATACACTTGGATTAGATTTATGTTTAGAGGTTTGGCTTTCAGCTGAAGTAGCATCATACGTTCGTTAAAGGGAATGAAATTTGTCACAAACTCTTTTAAGTTATTGTTGATAATAATACCAACACCATGGCTGTGTTCTCCAGTGCTTTTGCCTGAGTAGAAAATAGTATTATTATCCTTGGTGTAGTTTCCAGACTTTAACCATCGGACTTCTGAAAGGCCCAATACTTGTATGTCTCTATGTACCTTTTGTACGGGAACGAAAAAATACTCACAAACCTAAATCTTCCTCCTATAAATACTCAGTGATTTTAGAAAATCAACAAGTTTTTGTTTGTAAAACTGCATTTTGTGTTTTATACCAAATTAGTCGCAAAAAGGTGGATATTATTAAAGAAAAACTAAAGAGTGGAACATCAGTTCCAACTACAGACAGGCGAGGTCATCATATGAAAAAACCCCATAAGATTAGTGATGCTGTATGTAGAACAAGCTATTATGACTCGTATTAGTGAATTTTCCACAGAGGAATTACATTATTTAAGGAACAAAAATCCACGTAAGATATATCTGGCCCCAAATTGAATATTAAGGAATGCAAAGAGCTTAATGTACCTGATAGGTACTTGGTCAAATAATCTACACATGCAAATATTTTCTACAAAACGTTTAATTTATTGTTCTCTTATTCAAAAAGTGACACCTGTAGCACATGCGACTGTGGGAAGTCTACAGAACATAAAGAAAATATAAATTTAGGATTTCAGTTGATGTAAACAGACCGCGAAAATGCTTTAAAAGACGAAAATGTATGTTACAGTAAACTTCCAACAAACCATGCTTTTACCGAAATTCACTACATCAAAGGCATTTTAACTAGACTGTAGTTATGGTTCTATAATTTAGACATTCATGTCTGTACCTGGACTGAAGACGTTGCTGGTAGAGGAGGTTCAGACGTTGTTAGCTCTTTGTAAAATTTCGTGAATACTGAAATATTACTACAAAGAAACACTTTATGATGTGGTCTAATTCAGGCGCTGGATAGAATAAAAACAGACTAAAAAAAACAAAACTAACTAGTGCAAAAAAGTTTACACACAGAAGAAGACCTTAATGAAATATTATCAAAGTTTTCAGAAAGAGAATGTAAGAAAAACCTGATTATCATGCTACCGATTTAAATGATACTACACCAGAAGAACAAGAATAACAACAGTTAGAAATATTTATCGAACCCGAAAAGCAAGACAATATTTAAAGACCGAAAGAGGCAATCAACACAAGTAACTCATTGCAGGAATCAAATATAATAATAGAAGTAATTGATCCATCCCCCAATTCTACAGCAGCTTCTAAACCTTGCCTGATTTACATGAAAACATCAACGAAATGCTCTTACATTTCGTTGAAATGCAAGAGCATTTCGTTGAGAGCAAGAAGTCTTAATGTGTAGTAGCTGTGAAAAGGTCAGGAATGTATCATGCGTATTGTTTTCCATTCGAATATCTATTGCGAGAGACAGAAACGAATGTCATTTGGGACAGAAAAGAGCTGCTGACAAACACTGCTAAAAAAATGTTACCTTTAAAAATTAGAGACTGTGTACTATTTCCAGTTGGAAAAATTGATGGTGGCCCAAGCGACATGCAAATGACCCCTAAAAATGCCCCAACGACTTTTAGTCTATTAGTGTAGTGTGAAAATTGTATTATGTTTATTTGTTTTGCTTTTTAAATATTTATATTCATCAAAGTAAATGGAACTAATTTGTAACCACGTGCAGTAAGTTTTATCTAAATATAAACATTTTCATTAAGGATACATTTTTAAAATGTCTTTAAACAAAATACATTTCCGAAAGCTCGACGAAGCTTAAAAGAGTTTTACTTATCTCAGCCCAAATCAATTGACTGCATTTCTCAAAAATATTCAGATTACAAGTATTTTATAACTAGAGCTCAAGATCAATAACGGTATAATTTTTTTTACATTCAGCATTTATACCATTATCATAAATATATTTTTATACCTGTTACGTAAAAACGTGCTAAGTTTCCATCAATTGGTGGCGTGGCGCAGAATTTTATATCTGGACAAATGTGATATCTTCCTGTTTTACAAAATTCACACTTTCGACACGGTACTCCTGGTTCAATGGCAACTCTATCACCAGGTTCTAAGCTTTTTACATCTGGGCCACATTTGACCACAGTTCCAGATGCTTCATGGCCCATAACCATGGGTGCCTCCAGGATAAAAGGTCCACACCTTGCGTCGAGCCAATAATGAACATCTGATCCACATATTCCGACAACTTCCATTTGAAGAAGAACTTGGCCTGGTCCTGGTACAGGAATTGGTCTTTGTTCAAGGGTAATTTCATTTTTTCTTACTAAAATTGCTGTTAGGTTGTCCTGTGCCATTATTAAAATGAAATTATTTTAAAGATTAAAGATTTTTTACTTAAAATTTTGACGTTATTTAAAAAATATATAAAATTATAATGACATGACGGTTAATTTATGTCAATAGCTACTAAAAGATAGTTTGTAGTTTGTCTATTTATATTTTTTAGTGGTTGCTGTTTATTTATTTAAATTTATTGTTGTATTGATTGGCTCGTAATACTAATGCTGTAAATAAGATTATATCCTTTTTTATTTAGCACTTGGCGTGTAGTGTTTTATTTAATTTAAAAAATACAAACCTTCGTAATCAGTGGCAGAACTAAATGTTACAAACTGAATCGAAATCGACTACTAATTAAACTTTACCAGACCTCTACGGGATGTCATGACAAACTGAATTAAACACGCAACCGTTTACATTAAACGTTATTAAAGTTTACATTCCGACTTGCGATACTTCAGACAATGCTATTGAGTTATTTAATTTCGATATTTTGACAGCCACGATCTCTAAAGAAACATCAGATATTGCAGGTTTAATAGGAAATTTTATTGCCAAAGTAGAAAACAGTAAAAGATATAATGTAGTAGATGAAAATGAGTCCTCATAGATAATCCTTGAAGAGAGTATTTAGTACAATTTTAGTGTGCATCTCATACACTGAATTTACTGACGCCACTAAAAGCACCGTTGAATCTCATACCCTTGCATATTTTAGGCTTTGGGTTACAACCGTGCTTCACAATACCCATTTATTTATGTGCAATACATTTTCTCAGTAGCATGATGGAATCTTTTATATATTTAGCATGCATTTTTAGGATACTAGTTTCTAGCAATAAAACAATATATTATTATGTAGCTTGAAACTAAGCTACATAATTACATATTTACATAATACGAATATTACAATATACGAATTACATAATACGTAAAAAACTGTTTTTTTTTAAGTACAAAAAAAATCAGTAAATGATCTTTAAAATTAGTAATACATGTTTCTAGTTCAATAATAAATAAAAAATATAATATATGTGTACAAATGTCTATTGCTTACATGAATGAACTTTACAAAAACAGATGATACAATATAATTTATTGCACTGAATGCACCTTCAACGAGAAAATGGAGTTTTAGTCTGTGAATATTTTCTACCATTTTCTGCTGAATTTTTTGAATAACATGTTATATATCTTCATCTAGATGAACTTTGCATTTTATCTATATGGTGACCTTCACGAGCATGTGGCATCTGTTGCTCTGGATTAGTTAGTTTAGAGAAATCGATCAGACATATTACTGTTGGTTATTTTTGGTAAATTATATAGGCGTTGACAATGGATTACCCTGGAACGAGCTCAACTGCTATTTTACGTACCATTTTACTGATTTTCGTAACGCTGGAAAGTATTTGGTAGGATATATCTATAAATCCTTTGATATTATTGTAGTCAATAACAATAACTGGCTTCTCAACTATTTCTTCTCTTTAATGGATCTCTATTATTTCAGCAGTAAGCTTTGTACTCAGCATAAGCACTTCGCGTCGGTTCTTTCACTAAGTTACTGTTACACGTGTGTTACTCTTCATCCCAATAATCTCCCAATAATAAAAAATTCAAGAGAAAGCATTCAAGAGACATACTGATATGGACAAGAACTAGGTAAAGGATACAAATTTTGGTGTATGGAAATGTAAAACTGTGAAAGAAAACGGAAAATTGTGTATAATTTGAGAATTGTGTAAAATTTCCACTTTGTAAAGAAGTAAAATTAAAAAAAATTCCAGTGTTTGGCTGTATACCATAGTGAAAAAAACTTACAATGAAATAAAAACTTTTTTTTGCTATCAGATCATCATCAGTGTAAAACGTCCATTAAAGTAATTGAAACTAGATATATAATATGGTCAAATGACTCTTCAGTTATATAATTAGAGTAATTCATATTATAATTAAGAAGAGACTAGGTCGATGATAACGGATTACATTTTTTATGGAAACGTACAATTTCGCAGCATGAAAAGGAGAACCTTATGCGATAAGAGGTACTTAACAAGTTGGTTGTGAAACCCTGATATTGAAGGAACAAAGTCGAACAAACAAAGTTTTGATAAGAGATAACCTTAGCAAAATTATCTCAAGATACATTTTTTGGTTGTGAGAAAAAAAACAAAACAAACTTAATAGATATTCTCAAAACTGCTTTATAAGAGGTGAGTTTTAGTGGCGATCAGACGGAATCAGATGCAGATACCTTTAAAAGGGTGTACGTAGAATTAAGTATTCTATACTTTAAGTTTTATAGATGGCGATGTAGTTGTAGAGAATTTGCTGTTCCTCCATAATAATTTCATAAGATCGGCAAACTTAAATATATTAAAACTTTTCAGAAACATACTGAGTTAGCAGAACAGCATTGTTTCTTATTAAGAAAGTTTAGCCCATTTTTGCTCATTGTCGTTGCTAAAAGGTTTTTCGTTTCTTTATATGGTGAAAAGCAAAAAGATGATCATCTGAACAGCATGAGATACAAACGATTTGCCAAGACAGTGACCAAAAGTACCTTTAACAGATCATCACTTTTTTCAATACAATATGCAGTCCGTTTCGACAGTCTTAAAAGCATAAAAAATTTGGCCACCAATCTGAACTTCCAAGACTACAGAATCCCTTGAACTTTTCCCTGATGTAGGGAAAACTGTGGAACTATATGTTGTTAACCAAAAGAAGGCCTCAAATGCTGTGTAGCGTGCTTCAATTGTTCTGGAGAAACATATAGTAACATCATGAAAATATCAAAATTAATAAAAAAATGAATTAGAAGATGAATCACCCACAATGAAGCCCATTATAAGTCCCATAATTTCACAAATATTCCCCTCCGATACTTAATTAGATTCTAAACTGCTGCCTGAGCCATCCAAGAAACGTAAAAACGTTTTTACCACGTAAAAACGTTTTTACCACGTAAAAAACGCACCTCCAGACTCTATCTCAGCGGTGGTGAGAAAAAGAGTCGATAATAAATTAACATTAATATATAAATGTTAACATTAATATAGAAATGGTACTTATATAAATAAAAACCAATGGTTTATTTTTATCGTATTCTTACAAGTATTCAACAACTTCAACTTTGGAATGCTTTAAAACTATATAAAGTACTGAAATTAAATAAATTTGCAGTGAAAATTATTCATTAAAAATTTCTTTACAAGATAGTTTTGTCTTCGTTCCCAAAAGTTGTTTTTTATTTAGATAGTGATTGGTTAATTTTTAATAAATTTGATTTTTTTATTTGGACCTGAGCTTAGATGTTTTCTTACTATTATTCTTGTCAATAAATAGCCTCATGGAATAGCTATAAATTGAAAAACCATGCTCTTTTGGCATCGAGCGATAAAAATGACTGTGGTGGTAGTTCATCTCATATGCTACGCACGCATCATTTTAAATACCATAAATTTTTAACAGACCCGCCTGTTTTACTATAAAACATTACTTCACCTGCTGAATATGTAATGCTACATATTTTTTATATAAAAAAATGAAAAATTACTATTTGATTAAACAAGGCATAATCAACATTGCCCATTAATTACCAGTGATCTGTTTCTAGAACTAGATTATAACCATTGTTAGCATTAACTAAATTACTTTTTATGGTATTTATAACAATAGATAACAATAAAGATTTTTTTCCAGTGAATATATATTCTAAACAACAATACAGGCGAGGAAAACAGAAAGAATTGAGCTAGAAATATCAGGTCACAATTCAGAACATAAAAATAAAATGGATAGTAATTAGTTATTGTTAGAAAAAAATGACAATGTTAGAACTATTATCTAGATTTAGCCACACAACTCGCACTCCTTCTAAGGGGAAAATTCACCTACGATACCTACGATTTAAAAGGATTGAGCTCTGGAGGGACTCTTTCCGTATCATCGAGCCCCAGGTAACTTGGTATGCTGGAGTATCTCCCAAAAATTTTCGTACATATCTAGATGTCGCGAAGAGTACAAATTTCTCCATGGCCTTATAGAGATGTTCATTTAGACCCAGTTTTATGTTCTCTAGGAGGTGTTTGGGAATAACACCAGTAGTAGATATAATATTAGGTACTATCTGGATACTTTTCATTCTCCATTGTCTCCTGATTTGTATTTCTAGATCTCTGTACTTGGCAATATTTATGTTGTATGTAACACGCAAATTATTGGTGTTGGGTATATACACATCAATAAATGTTGTTTACCTAGAAAGTTTATTAACTAGTATGAGATCCGGTATATTATGTGTCATTGGTTGGTCTGGAAGCACAGTGCGGTCACAGTATAGCTAGTAGTTGTTCTTTTCAAGTGTTCTGTTAGGGACGTTTTGATAATAAGGAAAATGATCGGTTTAGAAAAGTCTAATTATTTCTATTATCATTATTATTATATAACAAATGAGGACAGAGAAGCGAACTACTCTTATGCCAAAAAAAAAAACCAAGAAAAATATCCTTATAAAACTAATACCAATTATTAAGTTACAATTAAATACATCATACAAAAATTGTGAAACAATAAATAAATAACGCGATCATTAAATAAGACAATCCTATAAATAACATAAACAGCTATTAAGTTTATTTTTAAAGATGTTAACATTAGTTGCCGATATGGTGTTTAGATTCAAATCGTTTCAGATATCAAATATTCTGTTTAACAAGAAGTTCACTCTGGATCTTGCAGTAATCAGTTTCCTTTGAATTTTTAACGATGACCTCTTAATATTTCGTCTTGATTTAAAATGAATAGGGTACTTAGATTACCAAAATTCAATTTTAAAATACAGAAGAACGTAATTAGGTCATCTCAAAGAAGTCGCCGCTCATATGTCGTAAGATGATCCATGGATAGACTATCTCCATAATTAGGTCTAATACGGCCGTGTGCCAATTTGAATTTACCTATAATATCGTCTCATCAGGATAAATGGAAACTTTACTGGATACAATGAGCAAAAGATCACTAGTGCAAATACAAAAAGTGGTGGTCCAATGATCCAATGTTCCTTGTGGGACTCCACTCTTGACTGGCTTATCTTCTTTTAAACG